GCGAGTGAGAGTTTGGAGTGAGAGAGCTCGGTGGGTGGCAGCGGAGCTTCATTTTCCCTTTCCTTTTCTTGGCTCTGAGTGTCGTCTGCCTCCTCTCTCCTCCCGCTCTCCTCCTCTTCTTCTCTACTTCTCTTCTCATCCCGTCTCTCCTCCAAGCTCCCGCCGTGGGGTCTCAGCTCTCCGTCTCCCTCCCCCCCTCCCTTGCTCCCTACCTCCCCCGGGCGCTGCTGGGAGCCTCCGGGCTGCTGCGCCGCAGGAGGATGTCGCGCCGGGAGTCTCCGCCGCCACCCTCGCCACCTCCGCAGCTGCTGGGAGTGCAGAGAGGAAAGGTGGAGTGCGAGGACCGTCCGGAGCGCGCGGAGCCGCTGTCCGACACCGAGAGGGAGATCGTCCAGGACACGTGGGGGCACGTCTACAAGAACTGTGAGGATGTGGGGGTGTCTGTTCTCATAAGGTGGGTTTTCCGTCAGCGCGAGTAAACTTAGAAAGTCTCCACGCTTAAAGATCCGAAGGTTGATTCGTGTCTTTTGATGTAACACTGCTCAGTGTTCCTGCTGCTTGAGCTCGAACATGCAAACCTTCCTGCTCCCCTGAGCAACATCCCGCTCTGCTGCTGACCACTGATAGAAAACATTTTTGCTGCACCGAATTGAAGCCATGAAATACCCTAACACGAACTTGAATCAGTTAAAGGAAAGACCAAGACAGGTAAACACTAAGAAATAACAGAAAGCAACAACAAAATCAAATATCACGAATACACAATGCAAAACTACAGTGCAAAAATAATGAAAACTGGAAAAACCCTAATCATCCCTGGAACTCATAACAACACCAGCCTGACAAACGAAAAATGTTTTCCTGTATATTTTTTTATGCACGATATTATTTCAATTAAAAAAAAACAAAAAAAACAAGCTTATGTTTCAGTTAAAACAATTTCCCACACTGAGTTATAGTTTAGTTTTAGCTAACTAACCGTGATTATGCTTTATCAGATGTATTAAATATTTTGATTTCACTCTCACAGCCCTGAAAGTGGCTTTCCTTTCTCAGTTCTCCCACACCACATATCCTCAGCTCCTCTCCTCCCCTTTCTTAGCCCCTCCCACCAGACATGTCAGGAGGAATTGAGGTGACCAGGAGGTGAGGGAGGGACACGAGGAGAGAGGAGTCGAGACAACAGACGTTTAACCAAATGAGACACCCTCGCCTCGGAGCCTCATTTTAAAGTGATGAGAAATTAAATATGACATTTCACAAAATAGCATCATAAATTGTTTTGTTATAGCCCAACTGCTGCTGTATTTGATGATCTGCAGTTTAACAGTGATCAGGACATTTTTTACCTTTAATAGGAGGACTTTTAATTGAAATCACAACATGGTGCAATGTGACGAGACATTAGACCTTAATTTAATCACACATGCAGGCAGCAGTGAAAGGCAGAAAGTTGGATCATCTTAAATAACCAAAACCACAAGTACAAATGACTTGCGGTTTAATGAGCCCTCCTCTCCCCGTTGTTTGTATAATCCAGCTGTTCGCCACTTCAGTCTTCTTCAACATGGCTCAGATTTACAGAGAAACGAGTAAAGCCCTGAGATGCTCTGCTCCGCTAGGTTAGCTGATCAGAGACTAAAGCGGGGTGCACAGCAGGCTAGCAAGTTTGTCTGATTGTTGTTCTTCCAATTAACTGTCAAATCATCTGAGACATGACCAAAAAAAAAAGAAAAGAAAAAGAAAGAACACATGGTACAATTTAGATGCTCTTGCTAAGATCTCATTTGTTTTCTGCTCTTGTCATTCTTTTATTTTGTAATCACAATGAAAAACACACAGTAAGTAAGTAAAGATATTTTTCAAAAGGTGGAAACATCTGGACAAATCTTTAATCGCTTTGTTTGCACCATAAAATTCACCTAAATAAGGAAATATCAAACAGAGATTTAACATCATTCATGCATATATAATGTATAAAGGTCAATAATTCTGGTCTCAGCAAACCAGAAGTTACAGTACTGGCTGTTTAGGTGGGTGCAGATTTTAAGAATTACCAACATTTTTTATCTTGAGATGCTGGAAACAATCCTAAATCATCCGATTACTGCAAGCAGCAGGATATTACATAAGCTAAAAATATTTCCACCAAAAAGCTTTCCATTAATAATGTGAAGTTTTAATCAATTTTTTCTTTGCTCTTCTCACGGGTTTGAATACTGACTGTGTATAAAGGCTGGATGTACCTTTTGGACCAGAAACATGAAGCCAACACTAACAAGCTTCTGGCCAAACTTGAGGATCACGTCTGTGCTTATCCACCAAACAGCAGTTCAGAATACCCGTGCTTGTTGCAGTCTCTGGGTGGGATCCTGGGGGGTGTCCCATCCAGAGACTGGAGAAATCTGAACAGTGTCGACTGGAAAAGAAAAGACACAAATTAATGTCACGCATTAATTTACTTGATCCAGGATAACCTTAACCGAAAGGTCACTGATCTGTGTTGTTGATGTATTTGCCAAGACACTCTTCACTCTTGAAGAGAGGAACAATTCAATTTCAATTCAATTCAATTTCTTTATTGTCCCACAAGGGGAAATTAGTTTAGCAGCAGGAGGATAAAAATAAACAGAACAATAATATAAAATAATAATAACAATAATAATGATAGAAAGTTCAAGGACAATTATTTGCCATTAAGGAGACAAGACGCAGTAGGGATAACAGAGCTGTCAGCTGATCAACACCTAATGGTCAGCTGGAATAGATAACTATTAAAGGGCCGTTGGGTACCAAAAAAAGGTCAGAAGGGCTGTCGCATCTGCTGTGGCAGAACCAAAATCTCAAGCTTGGGAAGAGTTCAGTGAGAAGGACTTTCAGATGGCTCCTAGCAAACTGTCTGGTGAATCAGGAGCAGGAAATAAGAAAAGCAGACTTGGCTCAGCCTCAGGCCAGCTTTTGGTCAGAGACGAGAACTGCTGAGCCTTACTGGAATATTGTGGAAAGAGCTCTTTGAGGTGCTCCTGAACCGGATGAGCACGTCCTCAGTCTCGAAGGCAGTTTGAAGACATAGGGGTGGCCTCACCCCATCTCCTGACAGACGTTGCTGAAGTACACAAAAAGCTCTGCAGTGAAAAAGGACGGGTAGGGATGAGATTCACTCTGTTTTGGCTCCATTGGCGTCCCTGGAATGTAACCCTCAGTGTTAGGTGGCTAACACTCAAGTACAATGGTGCACTGCTCTTTGTGGGTTAGCGTGAAGCAAGGGTGATCGAGTATTTTGAGAGCCTGTTGATGGGACCAGTGAACTAGTGCGGGCATTTTTTCCAAACGTTGTACTGAAGAGAGCTGAGCTGGAAAGCAAACCCTTCGAATTACCATCACTGTAGGTTCCCTCCCTCATGGCATGTCTGGGAAGCCGAAACAATAAGGTTGCAGATGAATGTGGCTGAAAACCTTTTCCTCAACAGCTTCAGACTCAGAAATAGATATTCTATTCTGAGATGTTCTACATTTCAAGGAGTATTCATTCACCGATCCAAATCATTGAATTAAGATGTATCAATCACTCCCATGGCCACAGGTGTATAAGATCAAGCAACTAAGCATGCAGACTGCTTCTACAAACATTTTTGAAGGAATGGGTCACTCTCAGGAGCTCAGTGAACTCCAGTGTGGGCTTGTGATAGGATGCCACCTGTGCAACAAGTCCAGTCGGAATATCTCCTTGGTACTAAAGATTCCATAGTCAACTGTTAGTGCCATTATAACCAAGTGGAAATGATTGGGAATGACAGCAACTCATCCATGAAGTGGTAGGCCACGTAAAAATCACAGAGTGAGGTCAGTCATGATGCCTTCAGAATAGCTTAAGAAAAGTGTGTAGAGAACTTCATAGTTTCCATGTCCGAGCAGCTGCATCCCAGCCTTACATCACGAAGTGAGGTGCAAAGCGTCGGATACATCAATGTAAAGCACATCACCACTACACTCTCAGGAGTGATGAATAACACTTTTCCATCTGCCAATCCGATGGACAAATCTGGGTTAGCACAACTCTGAAATGAAGTAGACCGTGAGCCAGACCTTCTTGTTGTTGTGATGTTCTCCAACATCACTGTCTGACCTCACAAATGAGCCAAATTCCCATAAACGCACTCCTAAACCTTGTAGAAAACCTTCCCAGAACAGGTGAAGCTGTTATAGCTGCCAAAGATGGGTTAAAATCGTATTAAACCCTACGTATTAAGAATGGGATTACACTCAAATTCATATAAGTGCAAAGACAGTGTATCCAGAGCTGCTGCTTCATTCTCAGACTTGTGAGTAGTATGACTCCTGGATAAATCCTTCTGGAATTTTTCCAGGCACAACAAACTTGGAAGCAGACCAGAAGGGGTAAACCTTGCCATCACTGTGTTGGCCTGCCATCACAACGGACTAAATAGGCTCGCGTCTGTATGGTACCAGATACGGATGTCATCATTTCGATGATCGGCAGCAGCCTGTTGTAGCATCTCTTCAATATTTAGCTTGAAGCATTGTTCAGCCTGCAGTGCACGTGGTGACGCACCAGACATCGCACCACGTATCGCACCACGTATCGCACCACGTATCGCTCTGATATGCAGTTTTTTTCAGGTCTCTTTGATATGATGCACAAAAACTTCTGTTTAATCCCTATTGTGTCTCAGTTAACACAAAGTACTGAATTAATACTTTGTGTTAATGCTTTCATGTTGTTTTTTGTATTAGACAGTAACAGAAGCACACATGTATTCATCTTTCCCAGACGCTTAACTCTAACTATGAGCCTGCAGTCTGCTCTCCAGATGTAATGAGCTATGCTATAAGAACTTGGTTTTCCCCAGAAGGAAGGCAGATCCCAAAGTGACGGCACAAACAGATTTTTTTCACCACAACAGGCACACCCACACCATGTTCTGCACCAAATCCCTCAGCCTCTCAACAATAACTGAACTGTGACAAGTGCAGGAAAGGAGGGAACATCAAGTTCCTCACTCATTAAGATGCTGAGACGGCTCCATACACCACATCTTCTCACAAGTAAAGTGAAAACTGTGAAAAGGGCACCTTAAATTTGACCTGTTCTCACCTTGTTTATATTTTATTTCACATTTCTCTCTTTCACTGCTGCTGTCTTTTTAAGTCATGTGAAAATTAAACATTTTTCCAGGATCGAACAATCTTCTGTAATGCTTCACTCTACAGAGCTGCAGACCAACAGGATCTAACGGCGCTTCTCCTTTTTCCATTTAAAAAAAATAAAATAAAATATATATATATATCAAAGAAGAGAAGATAGGCTTAATTTATTTAAATCCTCAGCTAAACTGTCTCAGTGTCACTGAGACCTTAAGGGCTTGTTAAAATGGACAGCGAGTCGTAGCCAAGGAGACTGATGTGACTGCGACAAACTGATTTTCGGTTGGA